GCTGGAGAGGTTGTGGAGAGACTGGAACACTTATACACTGTTGGTGGGAATGTAAAATGGTACAACCACTTTGGAAATCGATTTCGTGCTTCCTTAAAAAGCTAGAAATAGAAGTACCATACGATCCAGCTATCCTGCTCCTTGGAATATATCCAAGAGAAATAAGAGCCATCACACGAATAGATACATGCACACCCATGTTCATTGCAGCACTGTTCACAATAGCAAAAAGATGGAAACAACCCAGATGCCCATCAACAGACGAATGGACTAACAAATTATGGTATATCCACACAACAGAATACTACGCAATGATAAAGAACAACAATGAAGCAGTGAAGCATAACATAGAGGAAGCTGCAGGGCATTATGCTGAGTGAATTTAGTCAGCCATAGAAGGACAAATATCGTATAACACCACTATTATGAGAACTCAAAAAAAGGTTTAAACACAGAAGAAAACATTCTTTGATGGTTACAAGGGTGGAGAGAGAGGGTGAGGGTTATTTACTAACTAGATAGTAGATAAGAATTATCTTAGGTAAAGGGAAGGACAGCACACACTATATGCGAAGTCAGCACAAGTGAACTAAACCAAAGCTAAAAAGTTTCCTGAATACAATCAAACACTTTGAGGAACAGATAGCAGGGGTAGGGGTCTGGGGACCATGCTTTCAGGGGACAACTAGGTCAACTGGCATAACAAAGCTGAGTAAGAAAATGTTCTGTATCCTACTTCGGTGAGTGGCGTCTGGGGTCTTAAAAGCTTGCAAGTGACCATCTAAGATGCATCAAATGGTCCCAACCACCTGGAGTAAAGGAGAATGAAGAACACCAAAGACAAAAGGAAAGTATTAGCCTGAGAGACAAAAAGGGCCACGTAAACCAGAGACTTCATCAGCCTGAGACCACAACAACTAGATGGTGACCAGCTACCACCAATGACCACACTGACAGGGAACACAACAGAGAGTCCCGGATGCAGCAGGAGAAAGGTGGGGTGCAGAACTCAAATTCTAGTAAGAAGACCAGACTTAATGGTCTGACTGAGACTGGAGGAACCCTGGAAAGCAT